TGCTTTGAAGGATAGGGTCAAAATTCAAAATGATCTGGACAAACTAAAGAAATGGTCTGAGGTAAACAGGATGAAGTTTAAGAAGGACAAATGCAAAGTGCTCCACTTAGGAAGGAACAATCAGTTTCACACATACAGAATGGGAAGTGATTGTCTAGGAAGGAGTAGTGTAGAAAGAGATCTAGGGGTCATAGTGGACCACAAGCTAATTATGAGTCAGTAGTGTAACACTGATGCAAAAAAAGAAAACATAATTCTGGGATGCGTTAACAGGAGTGTTGTGAGAAAAACATGAGAAGTCATTTCTTTGCTCTACTCTGCACTGATTAGGCCTCAGTTGGAGTACTGTGTCCAGTTCTGGGCACCACATTTCAAGAAAGATGTGAAGAAATTGGAGACGGTCCAGAGAAGAGCAACAAAGATGATTAAAGGTCTAGAAAACATGACCTGTGAAGGAAGACTGGAAGAATTGGGCTTGTTTAATTTAGAAAAGAGAAGACAGAGGTTATGATAGCGGTTTTCAAGTATCTAAAAGGGTGTTACAAAGAAGAAGGAGAAAAATTGTTCTCCTTGGCCTCAGAGAATAGGACAAGAAGCAATGGGCTTAAATGGGCAAGAGATGTTTTGGTTGGACAGGGTAGTTAAACATGGAATAAATTGCCTAGCCGGGTTGTGGAATCTCCATCACTGGAGATATTAAGATATTTAAGAGCTTGATCCTGCTGTGAGGGCAGGGAACTTGATTTGATGATCTCTCAAGGTCCCTATCAATTCTATGACGGTATGAGTCTGTGATTCTATGATTCTAAATTTGATGTTCACACTGACTGATAAGAGCTTTGTTTCTCTTTTTACCATTTTCTTTTCTAGTGAACAAATACTTCCTAACTTTCAAATCCCTTTAATATATAAAGAAATGTAAATTCTGTTGATTTTAATCTGAAATCTTGTGGAAGAGTAATGTAAAACTTTGAATCCCTTACCAGTTATGTGTTAGTCATATTATTTTATATCATTTTTGTGTGTCTGTCATGTGTAGCAATTTCATTTTAAAAATTTGTACTGCTTTCAAAGATTGTACTGGCTCAACTAGTATTCCCCAGTATATGTATGGTATATATGTCTCAAACTGACAACGACTTTAAAACCAGTAGAAACATTTTGAATTCAATCACTCTGAATACTCTGCTGTAACTCCCATAAACTTTAAATCTGATTGGGAAGACCTTTCCTGGTATTTTCATAAAGCTTTAAAATTTAGTTGACTAAGCTGTGCTTTAGAAAGAGGAAAGTGGGTCTTAATGTTTCAGAGTTGAGTACAATAACTACAGAATATGGATGATGTTGTACTTTTCAAAGTGTTGGCTTTCACCCTTTTACAGTGTAACAATGAATGGTTAGGTTAAAAAAATCCATACAAAAAACTCTGTTAAGAACATGTTTAGGCAACATAGATAAAAACTCAGGTCAGGAAATGCCAATTATTGCTTGTTTGTGTACTGCTTTCTCTTTTCAAAAACATCTACAGTCATTAAGTTCTGCTCCTCACGTATGAGCTAAATTGTTGTTTATTTGTATTACAATTGTGTCCACTTATCCTCCCTGAGCAATTAGCATTGCCAGATGGTTTAACAAAAAAACCCACCACTTCCCCCCCCCCCCCCCAAAACAGGAAAAAAATTTTTTTGGAAAATATTGAGGGGGAAAAAAAGGAGGTGCTGCGCCTTTAAATGACCCCGTGCTCCTCACGCCCCCATCAGACGTGGCAGAGGGAAATTGTCCCCTCCGAGGGAAACAGGAAATGCCAGACATTTCACATATCCGGTATTTTCTGGGTATTTTTTTTTACCAGACAGGGGACCCGAATAACAGACAGTCCAGGCAAAAACTGGACACCTGGCAACCCTATGAGCAACCATTGTGCAAACATACAGTGAGAGGCAGTCTTTGTCCCAAAGATTCGTTTTCCCAGTGGAAAATGAAAGCTTAAGGGATTTGGCCAGCATCACACATCCAGCAAGCTTTTAGTTCATGGGCCAAGGCCCTTACCTAGTGCCCTAAAGTGCAATGGAGGCAAAACATTCAAACATTGTCTCTGATTTTTCCTGTTTGCAAAATGGTGATAATACTGCTTTTTATTTTATAGAGCTTTTTCTTCTCTGGATATCAGAATGTTTGACACAGATGTCAAAACATTAATAACTCCATTTTACACTGCAGGTCACAGAATCTGTTCCTTTCCACAAAGTGCTAGAGTTAGTTTAAAAATAATTAAACTATTTGTTTTTTAAAGATAATCTTCCAAATGTAAATCAATATACTGTTGACTTCCCACATCTGCAAAACAGTAGCCTAAAACAGAAGCCAAAAGCCTTCTAAAGGAGCTGCAAACTGCTCCCTTTTCACCAAATCTAAATGAGCTTTTAACTCTGAAGCCAAAAGTTGCTATACAGGCAGTCCCCGGGTTACGTACAAGATAGGGACTGTAGCTTTGTTCTTAAGTTGAATTTGTCTGTAAGTTGGAACTGGTACATATTGTACCCCAGGTGTCCCCGATTCATCCGCTGCTGAAACTGACCAGTGGCTGACTACAGGAAGCCCGAAGCAGAGCTGCTTTGCCCTGGGCTTCCTGGAATCAGCCGCTGATCAGTTTCAGCAGCAGCTGACTTGGGGACACCTGGGGTAGAGCAGCTGGGGTGCTACCAGGTTGGTCCCCACCGCCTGCGTCCTCCAAGGCTTTGTCTGCATCTCCCTGGTCTGCTGGGGGACCACCCCCAGCAGACAGGGAGACGTGGAGCAGCTTTTATCGCCGCAGAGGACGCAGGCGGCAGGACCGCTGCGGTGCGTCTCAGCGGTCTGCCGGAGGGGGCGCAGGTAGTGCGGGGTGAGTCACCCCGTTCGTAAGTAGGGATCCGACGTAAGTGGGGACTGCCTGTAGTTCTGGTTAAGCATTTTAGTTTAAACATATAGCTAAAGTTATTAGTCACGGATGTTGGATGCAGAGGAGGACGTAACAGTTGGTAGGTAGATAAAGAATAGCTAGTCATCCATCAAAAAGTTGCAGTGTCAGCAGGTCGCTCTACCTTGAATGGTTCCTTACAGTATGTGCTAACTATTTATGTTCAACGATCTGTTCAACCTTGCATTTTGTTGTGCCACAGGGAGTGCCTTTCCCAGACTTTAGAAAGAGCTCTATGTAGATTTTCTTTGACACTGACAAGTGCCAACCACAACTTGGAAGTTTTAAATTAAGGGCATCTTTATGTTTTCTTACAGTTCAGAATAGAGGATTGTAAATAGCAGTATGCACCCAAGTGCTGCTCTTTAATTTCTGTGTGTGGCAATGAGTTAAAAGGTTCTTAGTTTGCATTACTGTAATCTTCAAATAAGATTATATCAAGGTAAACAAGAACATTTTAGTTTGTGCCTACAGCATCCATTGGGGAGTGTTACAGTGCAGCACTTTGGTGCGCACTTCTGTTCAAACCCCTGTCATCCAAACTGTGGGGCACAGTAGACATGCCTCAGAACCTTTTCTAGGGTCCATTTCTATGGCAGCGTGATTTAGGATGGAAAATTGTCAACTAATGTTCAACATTTGTGGCCTTTTTCCCGTGTGTCAAAACCATTACGCTCTATAGAAAGAGCTGGTATTTTGTACTTAATTCTTTGCTGTATTTTGTTTTTATATTGCAGAGATTGTTATCTATTCAAGTTTCAATAAGGAGCACTGTAACAGTGGAATGGCTAAGCAGTTAGATCTAGTTCAGAAAAATCAACCGAACTGAAACAAGCAATTAATTTACCATTTGAAAACATTCACCTTGTTCTCAGATTAGAGCTTTAAACAGTTCAGATGCAGGTCCATGAGCAAGTAAAAATCAAGTCACCTCATGCTTAAATCTCACCATGAGTGAGTTCCAGACAGAGTTGGGTGAATTAAAAGGCCAATACATGGGCAATTGGCTTGAGTTGCATTAAATATCTGGTGGTGTTACATGTTCATACAAGATATCATCTGGATTCCTGAAATGCTTTCACTGATTAATTGTCTGAAGCTGCATGCCCTTTGATTGCTATTCTTGGAGTAGAGATGTTAGCCAGTTTACATGATTAACTGATAAGCCTGGGCTCATAAATTAATCCGCATGGTTACATGCACCTCCACTCCCTTGCTGCCTCTGTATCAGCTCAGACCTCCTCCTGATACAGAGGCAGCAAGGAGAGAGAAGGTGGGAGCTGGTGCCCATGGGAAGCCAGCTTTTATTGCTGGCTCCCGTGGAGCCACCAGCTTCCACGCCCATGCTGCTGCCTCTGATGGAAAGGGAGCAGCTGGGGGGGAGAGGATAGATGGGAGCTGGTACACACGTAAAGACGACTTTCAAGCTGGCTCCCCGCATGTACCGGCTCCGTGTTGCCTCTCTAAGGCAGCGGCATGCAGGGGGGCTGGCCGGGAAGAGGCAGGCAGAGTCTGGTTTTTACGCTAGCTCCCCACCAGCCCCCTGAGTGTAAACATATAACCACTAAAGAAATTCAGCAGTTACACGTTTACAAAAATAAATGTTTATTAATATCCCTTTCTTGGAGTAATCCTTTGGTGACAAAAAATTGGTGACAAAAGAAGAAAATGGGGGCAGCTTTTGAACTTAAATCTTTGTCAAATTTTCTTCATCTACAGGAAGAAGTCAATATGCAGATTGCTGTTGCCTATTAAATTGTTGTTGCCCAAAAGAGTAAAGAGAAAGGGGAACTTGGGAGACACCTGCTTTGCTTTGACAAAACAAGAGTTTTTCCATCCCCACAGTCCCCAGTGAGGATTAAATAGTTATCACTTAAAGAGTAACACAATTGCTGAGGCTTCAGTTTTTGAAAGGAGCCCTGGCCCTTAATCCTCATCTGTCAATTAGTGGTTTGACTATGGAATGTATTCTGATGCAACCTAACATACTAGTAGTGAGTGCATTCAGATAGTTACATGTGGCTTTTATCTGATATTTCAGGAGAAGAAACGATTGACAATAGGCAACATTGCTCACCAGTGGGAGATTCAGCAGAATCGAGTTGCTCTTATAACTTCTTCAGATCAAGATAAAAAAGACAGTGACTCCTGTCAGATTAATGGCAGTGCCGCATATGTATTTCCTGAAGAAACCAGGTATGTAAGTATTTTCTTAGAAGTATATTTCCTAATTGAAGTTTTATATTTAATAAAAATGGGGAACACTAATCCTTCCATTCATGTAAATGTGTGTTTATATCTGTTTAAGTAGTTTATATATGTAAACATGTATATATTTTTGGATTTCTAAAATGTGTCCATTTAGCATTCTATATAATATTTTAAAAGATTTCAGGACTTACTGAACAATGTCTACCTCAGATTGACTCCACCTAAGACTAAACCATTCTCCCTGTGGGTGAGAATACCTAAAATGGAAAATGACTTATGGCAATGAGTGAGCCATTCCCAATCTCTATTCAGACCCATTGCAGTGATGTCAAATTTGGATATGAATTCCATCTGAGCAATTTCATGTTGCAACCTAGTTTTGAATTTTTTTGGCTTGAGGATAGCAACTTTCAAGTCTGTAACTTTCAAGTCTGTAAGTCTGTGTGTACCGGGAGGTTTAAATATTTTCCCACTGGTTTTTGTATGTTACTGTTCTTGTTCTCTGATTGATTATGTTACATAGAGAAAGATTTTTGATGTCTGATTTATTCTGTTCCATTTATTCTGTTGCGTAGACAGTTAGGTTTGTCCAATTTACAGAGGGATATTGCTGGCACTTGATGGCATATATCACATTAATATATGTGCAGCTGAATGAACCTTTGATGGTATAGCTTATGTGGTTATGTTCTGTGATAGTGTCACTAAGGTAGATGTGTGGACAGACATGACAATGGGGTTTGATGCAAGGATGGGTTCCTGGATTGGTGTATGTGTTGTGGGATTGGTGGTGAGTATGTTTTTCAGGTTGTGGGGCTGTCTGTAAGCGAGGAGTGGCCTGTCTCCCAAGGACTGTTAGAGCAAGCATTTGTCACCTAGGATAGGTTGTAGATCCCGGAGGATGTGCCGAAGAGGTTTTAGCTGGGGCCTGTAGTTAATGGCCACAAATGCTAGGAGTTTGACTAATAAGATGGGTGAACTAGAGTACCTCGTATTAAAGGAGGAGATTGACATAATAGACATCACTGAAACCTGGTGGAATGAGGAAAATCTGTGGGACACAATCATACAGGGATATAAAATATATCAGAAGGATAGAGCAGGCCGTGTGGGTGGTGCAGTGGCACTGTATGTGAAAGATAATGTAAAATCAAATTAAATAAAAATATTAAATCAACATGTTCCATAGAATCACTATGGATAGTAATTATATGCTCCAATAATAAGAAATTAGCAGTATATTACCAACCACCTGACCAGGACAGCAATACTGACATTGAAATGCTGAGGGAGATTAGAGAGGCTACCAAAATAAAGAACTCCATAATAATGGGAGATTTTAATCATCCCTATATTGATTGGATACATGTCACCTCAGAAAGAGAAGCAGAGATAAAATTTCTCAATGGCTTAAATGACTGCTTCTTGGAGCAGCTGGTACAGGAACCCACAAGGGGAGAGGCAATTCTCGATTTAGTCCTGAGTGGAGCACAGGATCAGGTCCAGGAGATAACGATTACAGGACTGCTTGGGAATAGTGACCATAATATAATAACATTTAACATGCCTGTGGTGGGAAGAACACCTCAGCAGTCCAGCATTCTGGCATTTAATTTCAAAAGGGGGAATTACACAAAATGAGGAGGTTAAACAGAAATTAAAAGGTACAGTGACTAGAGCCAAATCCCTGCAAACTGAATAGAAACTTTTTAAAGACACAATAATAGAGGCCCAACTTAAATGTATACCCCAAATTAAAAGACATTGCAAGTGTGACGGCGCGTTGGGGGTCCCCTGTCTCCTGCACCCCCAAAATGGCATGAACAGACTCCACCAGCCCGTAGAATAGAGGTGGTTTATTGCTTCTCCAGTATACAGCACAGCACAGATGTCACCAGGTTACAGGGCAGGCCTAGGATGCCTCAGCCCCCCTTGATATGGGGCAGGGGTCTCGGCTTCTAAACCCCCCAGCCTGTTGCTGAGGCTGCTTCCTCCATGCTCCCAGACAGAAACTAACTCACTCTCCTCCAGCCCTTCCCCCCAGCCAGGGCAGCATTCACCTTCCTTTATTCCTCTCCATGGGGGGGAGATCCCTTTGCATAATGACCCATCCCTGTCCTTCTGGGCTGTGGTACTGGCGGCAGCCAGTGGGGTTACCACAGACCCATAGAAGCCAGCCAGTTCCCCCCCCTATGTCACAAAATTTTAAT